AACTACAGATCTGACACTATAAACTACAGGTATAGGGCTTCAAAGTACTCAAACTACATGTCTGATAATATAAACTACAGGGAAATTGCTCAAAACTACAGATCTCACACTATAAACTACAGGTACAGTGCTCCAAACTACTCAAACTACAGGTCTGATACTATAAACTACAAGTATAGTGCTCCAAACTATTCAAACTACAGGTCTGATACTATAAACTACAGGTATAGTGCTCCAAACTACTCAAACTACAGATCTGACACTATAAACTACAGGTATAGGGCTTCAAACTACTCAAACTACAGGTCTGATAATATAAACTACAGGTACAGTGCTCCAAACTACTCAAACTACAGATCTGACACTATAAACTACAGGTATAGGGCTCCAAACTACTCAAACTACAGGTCTGACACTATAAACTACAGGTATAGGGCTCCAAACTACTCAAACTACAGATCTGACACTATAAACTACAGGTATAGGGCTCCAAACTACTCAAACTACAGGTCTGATAATATAAACTACAGGTACAGTGCTCCAGACCAATTTAAAGTTTAATAATATTAATATTAAATCAGTGTTATTTCCTGTCTCTGTGTTTGCCCTGCAGGTGACAGAGGACGTGCACCGCCTCATCACCGAACACTACACCTTTGTGTGTCGCGGTCAGGTCAGCGTAAAGGGCAAAGGTCAGATGCTGACGTACTTCCTGGAGGGGCGGAGACCCGGGAGCCGCCCGCCTCAAAGCCAGCAGCAGCAGCACGCCAATGCCGAGCGCCGCTCCAGCGCCTTCTCCCACAGCAGCCTGTGCACCCGGCTAAGCCCCGCCCCCACAGTGACCACCTACTCTAACGTCAGAACGCCGAGCGYGGCCAGACCCACCTCCTCCACCAGCACCACCAGGTACCTGCCGTCTGTCCCCGCCGCGGCGGTGTGACGCCGCCGTCCACCAGCGGGGGGCGGACGCCGCTCTTCTTCTGTCTCCTCGCCTCGACTCGGTGCCTGGTCTCCGTGTGGGACCCGAACCCGTCCCCAGGTTTGTCTCGATCAGGACACAGGAAGCTTTAGCCACGTCGTCGTCGCTGCGCCGATCACAGGCCAAGGACGTCTCCGGGAGGCGAGGAGTGAAAAAAACGCACACATGCAATAGACGACTCACGGTTGTAGCACAAAGACAATAAAAAATAAAAAAACCTGGAGAATCCTTTAAAACGCTTCGGTTCTGTTCAATGTGAGACCAAATCAGAGCTGAGTTCTCATTCTGMGATTCTTGACTTTGTTTTTGTTGCCTTTCCGGTTTTATTTACGAAGTTGTTATCGGGGGGTTAAGTTACGGGTCGGTACTTTTGATTTGTTTTATTTTGAAGTGCATGACGCCACACAGCTGCATCTCCGTCCCGTTTCCCTGTGATGCTTGACTTCCAGACTCTTCCTCGTCAAAGTGTAGCAATAAAGCGGTCCTCCCCCCACCCCCACCCCCTTTTTTTTCCTCAGCCCCGTCCGCTCCCTTTTGCATGCCGTAGCCCGCCGGGTCCGGATCCGACCCGATCGTGTTTGTAGCCAGTAGCTAGCCGCAAACGGTTGTTTCTGTGTGGAGTTGAAGCATGATTAAGAATCGTGGTGTGATTCCCTTATTTTCCTATAATTTATTTATTTTTTAAATGTTTTTTAAGAAATATATATTCTCTTGTTAAAAATATTCTATTTGCTATTTTTTACAGACTTTAAAAAAAAACAGGCTGCTTTTGGTAAAATAGAGAAAACTTGCGTTTCCAGAGGAGACACCCAAACCTCTGGTTCTGGTTTGGGATGATTTGTTTAATTTTACGGTGTAGCATGCGGCTAACCACAGCCATTAACGCTCCTCTAATCTGTCCTAGCATGTACCGCCTGCAGGCCCGTGGCTCCGACATGCATGCTTTGATAAAGCTCTGGAGCCGGTCMGAGCAGCAGGCGCTCAGAAACTCTTTTAGTTTCTTTATTTTTATTTTTTTTAAAGGGAACTCTGACTACTTGTGACATTAGACATTATTTGATAAACATTTAAATATTAAAACTGTAAGGTTAAAAATATATAATGTCATATGTACGTCACCATGTTTTTTTCTGCCGCAAAGCATTCTGGGTAGATGATGATGTTTACAAGGTCTTCCGGGAAGACATCTATTCAGCTTGAATTAATTAATTAATTAATTAACATTAATTTTGGGCAATATCTGACATTTCAAAGAAATCAGAGCGTGTTGACAGAGGAGAATATTTATATCAATAATATACATGTAGCCTTAGCTCGCAAGCTAATGATGAACAGCATTAGCTTCTGAGCTAAAAATATTAGCTCTGTAGCCACACCACGTATGTATACAGTATATTAGTAAAATATGTCTGTTAGCTCCCAAAATAATAATATTTCTGTTGCTAACAAGCATGTATTTTTGTAATATATATGGCATTAGCTCCTGGGCTAATAATAGTAGCTCTGTAGCTAACCTACATACAGTATATGGCATTTGTTCCCGAGCTAATATTAGCATCATTGCTAATCCACATGTCATTGTAACATATATTATCAGGAGCTAATTGCATTTATTCATTCAAAAAAATGGAATTAGTTCCCGTGCTAATATTAGCACTGTTGCTAACCCACATATATACCACTAATATATTTAGTATTAGCTCTCAGGCTGAGATATATACTTTTATTTATATGGCAGTAACTGGCATTAGCTCCCAAGCTAATTTATAATGCCGTTCACTCCAGAGCTAATATACTGTACTGTATATGGCAATGAACTGAATTAGCGCCTAAACTAGCAATATTAGCTCTGTAGCTATATCAAATACGTATACATTGGTAAAATATGTATAGTATTCACTCCCAAACAAATATTATCTCTGTAGCTAACCAATATTTATTTCAGTTATATATATGGCATTAGCTCCCAAGCTAATATTAGCATCATTGCTAATCCACATATAAATCATACAGTATATCACTGTAACATATACAGCATTAGCTCCCAAGCTAATATATTTATATTATTAGCTCAGGAGTTAATGCCATTTATTTATTCATAAAGATGGCATTAGCTCTCCAGCTAATATTAGCATCATTGCTAATCCACATATATAGCACTGTAACATATTATCAGGAGCTAATGCCATTTATTCATTCATATATATGGCATTAGCTCCCACGTATTTATTTATGTATGTTGTTTTTTTTTTTTTTTTGCTTCAAAGCTAATATATACATGTGATTAACGGCATTAGCGCCTGATCTAGCAAATTAGCTCTGTAGCTATATCAAATACATAAACATTGGTAAAATATGTATAGTATTCACTTCCAAACTAATATTATCTCTAGCTAACCAACAGGTATTTCTGTAATATATATATGGCATTAAGCTCCCAAGCTAATATTAGCATCATTGCTAATCCACATATAAATCATATATCACTGTAACATATATAGCATTAGCTCTCAAGCTAATATATATATATGTTTATATATATATATGTGTATATATTATATATATATATATATATATATATATATATATATATATTAGCTCAGGAGCTACTGCCATTTATTTATTCATATATATGGCATTAGCTTTCAAGCTAATATTAGCATCATTGCTAATCCGCATGTATATCATTGTAACATATATTATCAGAAGCTAATGCCATTTATTTATTCATTCATATACATGGCATTAGCTCCCATGCATTAGCTTCGAAGCTAATATATACATGTGGTGATTAATGGCATTAGCTCCTGAGCTAATAATATTAACGCTGTAGCTAACCCACACACATATATATTGTATAGAATACAGAAGCTAATACAAAATATAAATTTATTGTTACACGTTGTAGCTTTTTAACCTCGACTTAACCATCATCATCATCATCCCCAGAATGCATGGCRTCATTAACACAAAGGCGACGTGCTTAGGTTAAAAACATAACACGTATGTAATTTTTTTAAGTGATTAAATGTATTCCTGTCAGAAACGACAGCGTTTAGTAGAACAGAGAAATAACGTGTTAAAGTCAACATGTGACCGCAGTCAGAGGTCCCTTCCAGGTCGTCCTCATGCATGCGCTAACGGTAGCGGTTTCCTCTTGAATGTACGGTGCTCTTTATCGACTCGTGTCTTCATAACTTCGCTTGACGAGGACGTTTTTTTTTAAATTTTCCTCCTCCTCTTTGTTTGTTTTTGTTTACTTTTCGAACGTGCCAACCTATTTTCACAAACATATCAGACTCGTTCGGTGCGTCGAGCTGTAGCACAAGGCGAGCGGCGGCTCTCTCCGTGTCGAATGCCTGTATTTCTACTCTGCGAGCTGTTCCTCCGACCGTTTTTATAACTTCCTATAAAAGTCGTTGATTTCGGGGAGAATAAACGAGACGGCGCGTCGTGATTCTTATATTTTGGATTTGCTTTCTTCGAGGTTTAAAATGAGGATTTTCTACTCTTGCTTTGAACATTTGATGGATCTTGATGGAAATGAGTCGTGTATAGTATTTTTCTTGTAAATTGTATATTTTCTTACTGTACGATACAGGTTTTGATTGTTACATGTAGGTATTACACTGAGATCTATATTATGAATGACTTGATATTTGTCAGGTTCTTTTTGTTTGAAGATGTATTTACTGAGATGTTTTATGTGAATGTACATTTTGTTAAAGATGATATTTTATACTAAGTGTTTGCACTGCAAGATTATTGACCTACTTTAAGAAGAATAAAGCCTGCGGGGGCGCAGGGGCCCCCTGCAGTAAGAACTCTGCTCTGGTCCTGAGTCTGATCTGTTCCCCGCGACAAGAAGCTGAACTTGAAGAACCAGCAGCTGACGGGTGACGTCGGCGCCGCGACACCGGGGTCGCCGGTTGTTTGCCTGGTGACGACAGGAACTCCTCTGTTAGCGGGAAAACAGAATCAGATGTTTAAAAATAAAAATAACGTTTAATGAGATGAGGTCATCAGAAAAAAAACAGCTGAAACATGAACAAAACATTTAACTTTATAAGTATTCTCCCCATAAATACATTTAAAAAAATTTATTATTTAAAAAAATGTCTCTTTAAACTCTGCTTCAGCTCCTTCTCTTGTGACTTTTATTTTAGCAATTAGCCTATTGATATTTCTAGCATTTAGATAGCCTTTTGATGCTTTTAACTAGCTTTTTGCTACTTTAGCATTTGGTCAACATTTTTGCTGCTGTCACTCTTTAGCAAGCCTATACATACTTGCTTCATTTATCTGTTGTTTTCTAAGTTTAGCTTTTAGTTGACCACTTCTTTGTTTCTTTTTCTTCATTATTTTGCTAATTTTTGCTTCTAGCTAGCTTTTTTAAATAGCTAGCTTATTTAGCTTTAAAGTGCCTGTGACGTCCAATTTTTGTAACACACATGAATGCATTTTTAGAAAGAGGACATTGATAAAATATTGCAAAAGAAATTTCACGTCGATGAGATGAACAGTCGTTGAGATATTTGCCTGTGAAGAAACAGGAAGTGATGTCAAAGGGGAATATCTGCATGTGAACAGAGCGTTGTTACAAAAGCTAACAACACAATCTGTTGAGAAGAATCTGATGTTTCTTAAGATTATTTTGAGTCACTATCAGAGAGAGATTACGGAGAGTCAGAGTTCAAATAATATTGTTTCAATAAACAAATATCAGAGTTTTCTTTGTTAAAGAGTTCCCCTTTGATGTCACTTCCTGTTTCACTTTGGCTGAGCCAAGTTCAAAAGAAAATATGCCAGTTATGTGACAAAATGGGTTAAATTGTGTGTATTATTCCAACTTTTTTTGATATAAAGATGTTTTTTCTTTGACTTTTGTATTTGAAGAATATGCATGTTACAGACACTTTAAGCCTTTTGCTACTTATAGCTTAAAGTCAGCATTTAACTAGTTTAATTCTTTAGATTCAGCTTTTGCTACTTTCAGCATTTAGTTAGCCTGTAGCTACTTTTAGCATTTGTCCAGTGTTTTCTTATGTTTAGATTTGGTTGGCCATTTGTTAATTGTTTTTGGTTATTTTTCTTAATCTTTTGCTATTTTAGGCTTTTAGCTAGCTTTTTGGTGTCTAATTGCTATTTTAGCTTTTAACCAGCATTTTGCTACTTTTAGCATTTGCCCGGTGTTTTC